TCTTACAGCAGCTGAAAAACAGCTCCAACAACGAAAACACTGTAAAAAACATTGCTCTTTGGTTGTCGGTTTGGACAAAGTGGTGTTCAGAGAAGGGAACTGCCAGGGAAATCGAAAATTACGAGCCGACCCAACTTAACACTTAACTCGAGCGATTCTACACCAAAACTATAAACAAACATGGGTAAACCTCGGAAACGACGATTCCATTTCATCGAAAGTAATTCGGACACAGACTGAACAATTCTTTGAACTGTTAGCCGGACTTTTAACTTTTTTGCGCCTTAAAGATGTGAACATATCATTATATATTACTGTTTTGATCGTACACGGTCGTTTTGACCGAACGCACAATGTCACTTGCAGGGTTTGAATGAATTATTTTTGCACTTGACGTGCACGCTTTGCTTCTGCGTAATTATGATAAGCTACCTCGTATTTTTTCATGTATATTATCAAAACGTAATCACATGATTTTTCTCGTGCAATTTGGAATGAATAAGCACTTGTTAATTTTTTAAAAGACCACAAATTGCACTCGCCCTACGGGCTCATGCAATTTTGTTAGTCTTCGAAAATATTTACTTGTGCTTATTTATTCCAAATTGCACTCGAAATCATGTGATTAACTATACTAATACTGAAAAGAAATTTAGTGTACTTTGCACCCTGATGCTAGTTTTTTTTCCCTTGGAGATAGAGAATAAGTGTGTTGTTAAGTTTTGCGGCCATCACTTGCAGTTTTTACCAGTTTTTTTAAAGCTTTCCAGTATGGTCAGTATATTCGGAATATATTCATGGTTGTAGCTCAGGCTTTGATTATCATGTTAGGAGCTAATCTACCTTGATCTCTTTGTGTAATAAGGTGTATTACACAATTTACATGTATGCGTATTATAATACAATTATGTAATGTTTAAAATCTTTTGACGATATTGCCTGGATTTGTGGAAAAGTTCATAGGTGTTTCTAAACATAAATGAAAGGGTGCATTTGTAAATCAATTTGAAGTCTTGTTCCCCTTTTTTAATCGGAACTCCGAACATTCTCCACAATTAAACTTGAACTGTTACATTAAAACACTATAGCCTACATAACATTCCAACAAGTGTACCCGATGCACTTCCAAATAACTTTTAAGACAACAACCATTCAAATCCCTTCTAAACACGGCGGGAAGATTCACAGCGACACCGATGAAATAACAAATGGTGGTTTTGTTTCCCCTTAATTTTATCATTATGCTCGAATATATCCTGCTTACCTGTGAGCCTACTTCGATTACATGGCAACCTGTAAGCGATTGGTTTATATGAATAGGTGATAATTAGTGGGGTTTGAATTTCTAGGAAAATCCTGTGAAGTCACATACATTGTGACGCTTTTGGAATTTTAAGGCGCACTGAAGAGTTTCGTTTGGCATTTCAAATTAAGCTGTTGGATAAGTATAGGTGTTATTTCCATGAAACGTGCATGAAGCCGGTGAAGAGCATCTCTATATTAAAATCCTGACTGAAATGAGCGGATATGGAGGCAAGATTGATACGTACCAATTTTCGGAGAGGTTTGTCAAATTTCCAGTATTAACTGTCCTATATTTGTTTGCGTTAGTTCCTTTGCTGACGTAGCCCTAGCTAGGCTTTTTGAAAATGCAGAAATGAATGAATGCCCAATAGAGCAATTTTTTGTACTTGCAATGAAAACTTTTCTCGGGTAACTCAAAGGTTTTACAGTCAGTAAAAAATATTGCAGCTACGCTTGCTTTAAGGCCAATCCACTAGAGCCCAGGTTTTCGCATT